GGCCCCATTTTCGCACAGCTGATCGGCGGGGCCTTTGGAATGATCGCGGGGAAGCGCTCCCCCGCAATCATCCCAAAGGCCCCATTTTCACACAGCTGATCGCCGGGGCCTTTGGGATGATCGCAGGAAAGCGCCCCCCCACGATCATCGCAAAGCAAATTTTCCCCATAGGGGCCATCACAAAGTGATCGCTCTTGCAATGGCAAAAAGTCCATCGCAAAGCAATTTCGTTGTAAAACGGAGCGATCGCTATGCGAAGCACCACTGTATCAGTGATTTTGCAAACATGTCATCTCAGCCACAGATTTTTAAGATGTGATTCCTAATTTTTAGGCTTGTCTCTTCAGTCCATCCTTACGCATCAGCAATGCAGAGAAACAACAACATGTTGTTAACTCAATTCTCACTTACGGAAAACATTTTCAGGATTGCCTAGGTACAGAGGATTCAGAAGTGATTTACCATTCCCAGCTCACCCAAGGCTGCACAGGATGGCTGTTGTCCTGGGAAGCATAGTGGGGAATCAAACTTCCAGTCTCTGGCTCTGTAGCCTGGTATTCAAATTACTAAGCAATCCAGCCAGTTACAACATCTAAAGTGAGTGGGAAGTGTGGAAGATGGAAGGGAAACAATCAGGACAAATCCAGAGCCTTCCATTGTAGCAATTTTCAAAGAGGTAGTCTGTTTCAGTGTACAAAATGAAAACAAAAAGAAAAGAATTGTGGTACCTTAAAAACTAACAGATTTTTTTCAGTGTCGCCTTTCATAGATTAGAATCCATTTGCTCATACGTGACTGGAGATATGGATTATAATCCATTAAAATTCACAGTGAAATAATTATGTTAGTCTTCAAGGAGCCACAATATTTTTGTTTTTGTCACACAAAGAGCAGAATCCTATTGTATATTTCTGCAGGTATAATATCAGCAGTGTAACTTTCAGTTATTAATTGCTACAAGTTAAGAAGCTAGAATTCTTTTTTATTCCTGACTCCGGGCAGAGCACAGCTGACCAATACAGCTAAAGGCAGTCCCAGAGAGCTCACGACCAGAGCTCACGAACAGGAGAGCAAACAAAGAGTTTGCCGTGAGAGAGATAGTAAGGAGACAAAGACAGAGTTAAGTGGATTTTTCTCTACAGTAACACCCAGAAAGGGCCTGAAGTAACTCCTAGGAATTGCCCAGACAGAAGCACCACATACTCTACTTAAAGAGCTGTGTGCTTAGTCAAACAGGAAGGGGTGTGTCCTTAACAGGAAGAGTTGTGTGATTAGCCCAACAGAAAGGGGAGTGTCCTGATTATTGCTGAGGGCTATAAGTAGCAGCTGTGAGTTCTGGGAGGGCCTTTTGATTCCTGACTCCAGACACAGCTGACAAAGAAAGCTAAAGGAAGATCCAGGGAGCTCGCAACCAGAGCTCGAGAACAGGAGAGCAAACAGGGAATTTGCTGGGGGAAGGCCAAGGCGGAGGCTCCAAACAATTCCCCCCCCCCTGTTCCTTGGGTAGAGTAGAGGTAGAGGTAGAGTTTCATATATGTCAAAAATACACATTCCTGCACAGAAATACAGGAGGGAGAGTGGTTGTCTGTTTGAGAGCACCTGGATCAATCTAGTTGGAGCAAAAAACAAAAGGAACTTGCTAATTGGAGTCTACTACCAAATGCCCAATCAAAGAGAGGAAGCTGACAAAACTTTTGAAAAACAAATTACAGCGTTTTCAAAGAGACACGACGTAGTAGTGATAGGTGATTTCAAGGAACTGGCTGAAGAACTCAGAACCACTATCCATTCGTCTTAAGCAGCAGCAGCTGTCAGAGGAGGAACTGCTGAGGGAAGAAAAACAAAACATTGCAGTGGAGGAAAATGCTGTACAGGCTACAAACATAGTGGAGGAACCACCATGGAAAAGAATCACAGTTAGGAGCAAAAGAAGGAGAGGACACTCT